ATAAGAAGTCACAATTTATCAATAAAGGTAAAATGATCTTTTTCTTAAAAAAAGTTATTGACAAAAAGGTCCCTAGACTTCATTAATATTATAATATTTTAAGGGATCAAATTATTATTTACATAATTTGAAAAGATTTTATTATCATTTTTTTTATAAATAATGGAGTAAAAAATCCAAAATCAACTAAACAACAGTCTCTCTCATGTTAGTAAAGCCCAAGTAATCTCTGGTCAGAATATCCATACTCTCAACAGATAGAGACTCAACAAAAAAACACTTCAAAATATTGAGACAAACTAGTTAGCAAAGCCAGACTTTAAAATCTTGAGACAAAAAGTATGAGAGAAAACAACATTTCTCAAGTCAGTAATCTCTTTTTGAAGAATAGCCTGTACATGACATATTAATAGTTTGCCTTTTCAAACCATCCTTACAAAACTTAGCTGCCAAATTTCTAATTTCCCGAACATATTTCACGATAATTCTATCAGATTCAATCTCTTTACAGAAACTAATAGGAATGTGGTTGTTTTGTATGTGGAATATGTCATTTGAGGAGTAACTGATTGCACCAAAGTTAAAACATCGATTTTCCCGCCCACTCAGTTTTTTTTTTTTTTAATCCTTATCAATCAAAAATTGAAACTTGGCTCTATTGTTATACCCTTGGATGATAAAAGCAACCAAGAATCTTCCCAAATCATCTTCTCGTTGAAATACATAAAGTTTGCATAAATCTTCCTGCACCCTTCTATGCACATTGGTAGAAAAGAAGACTCGTAATTCTGTATATACAGGGGCAGGGGGGCAAATTTTTTAAAAAAGTTAGGAAAACATAATTTTGAGTTTTTATAATTTGTTTGAGTTTTGTTATAAGCCCTTATATATATTTTTTTGTATTTTAAATCCCTGCATTTAGAATGCAAAAAAAAAAAGCGTAGAGACCCATAACAAAACTCGAGCGAAGTGCAAGAATTTAAAATTAAATTTTTTTCAAAAAATTTAACATATATACTGATTTTTTAAAAAAATTATATTTAGAATAAAAATTATGTTAAAATACTTTTATAATATCAAAAAAATCATGAGATAAGAATCATTTAGAATTATAAAATTTTTTAAAATAAAAGATAAAGTTAAGTCCTGGTATATTTTATATATATATAATAGAAACTTAAAAAAATTATATGCTCCAAGTACTTAAACTGATATTAACTTGGAAAAAATTAATATTATATGTCTACCCTTATTTAATAGGGCGTCTCAATTAGAAAATTTTTTTAATTATACTCCCCTAATTAAGGGTATATTTCAAAAAATCTTATTAATTACACATTAAAAAGTTCAAAATATTTTATATTTTTTAACATCTTATCTCATAAAAAATAGCTTAAATTTTTAAATGGAAGGGGTATATTTTTGTTTAATATACATACAATATAAGAAGTTATATATATGTGTGGGGGGGATAATCTTTTTTGTTTTTTGTTTTTTTTGGTTATGGGGGGAGTGATCTTTTTATTAAAGGGGGAGGACTCCACAGGCTCAAACACCCACAATGGCAATACATCCTCATGCATGAAAATCACAATGACATGTTTTTTTTTTGGGGGGGGGGGGGGGAGGGATGGCCCCCCTCAAGGTATGAGTAGGTCTTGCCCTGTGTGTGTATTAACCTTCCAAATTTCTCCAAATAGTCCATTACACACAATACTTGCTTCGGATCAGTCTCACAAAACGACAATAAATTATCAGTGAATGGTAAATGAGAAATAGGAGTATTACCTCCACCCATCCTCAAGGGTCTCCATTCAGGGCATCAGCTATTAAGTGGGATAACTTATCCATCCCAAGCACAACGAGATAAGGAAATAAAGAGTCTCCTTTTCTAATTCCTCTTGACGGTTTGAGCTCTTCACTTCTTTCCCCATTCCGCAACAAGGACATACTTGAAGAAATTGTACAGTTTTGAATAATCTCCACCAAATGTAATGGGATCTTGATTTCAAGCAACATTTTTACCATAAAGGTCCATGCCATCCCATTGTACACTTTTTTCAAATCCACCTTAATAGCCATAAACCCTATCCCTCCTCACATTCTTGAGGCATTTCCTTAGCAATGATTATGTTATCTTAGATATTTTGACCATAAGAGGCGTCAACCTTCTTACAGTAATCTTCAATAACCCTTCATACGAAACATTGCTTGAGGCAATTGGCCTAAATTTGGCCACAAATTCAGGAAAATCAATCTTCGGTGCAGCAACCAACAATGTTTTATTAATATCAGCTATTTACCTAGGTTGTTCCCACAACAAATTAATAACCTTTATCACACTTGGACCAACTATTCCCCAATTCTTGTGGAAAAATACATCAGGAAACCGATCCTCTCCTGGTGCCTTAAAATCACCAATATCAAAGAAAGCTCTTTGGATCTCATCATTATCAAGCCTTTAGCCACTCATCTCAAAACATCCTCATTCACCTTACCCTAACTCTATTTTGTACATAACCATGATCTGTTAAAACATTCCTTTCTAAACATATTGGAAAAGTGATTCTGTAACTTACCATAAAGCTCATTCTCTTCCATCACCCACACCCTTTAAGAATTCCTAAAGGCAATAATTTTGTTTCTCTCCTTCTAGTTAAAATTTTAGTATGGTAGTATCTAATATTTCAGTCACCTTGCTCAAAGCCACTAACCTCTAGACTTTTGACACCATAATATCTCCTCTTGTCTAAGCTAAGAGTACTCAATTGTTACTCCTCTAATTCTTTTTGAAGACAAAGCAAAAAAAGGATTTTTCATACCTATCAAAACTTACCATAAAGGATTTAGCGTCCTCTTCATGAAGTTAGTTCTTCTAAAAACCTCTATATTCCACTCCAACAATGAATTCTTCAGTTTAATCAAAGCTTCATTAGCTGCAACATCATTTGCCCAGCAACTACTTAAAAAAACATTAAACTGCTCATGAACCATCCACTTAGCCTCGAAATGGAAAGGACGGTTTCTCCCTGTTCTACTACTTGAAGAATTATCAATCAAAAGAGGATGATGATTTCTAATTAGGACTAAAAGGAATATAAATTGAAGATCCAATTTAGGTGAGATTTTTGAGCCCACAAGGAATTTTCTCACTTATACCAGAATTCAAACCTGGTTCTTAAATCACCAATTTGATTAGAGTAAAAAGTGTTATCCAAATTAGATTGTGCCTCCCTCGGAGCTGGTTCCAAAATATTGATTTTATGTCTTATTAAGGGGCACTCAAACCATGTAATAACCATTTGAAACCAAACATCAGTGGAAGAGACTGGTTTCCAAACGTTTTGCAAGATCTTTTACACCCAACAACATTGAACAAAAAATTTTCAAATCTTAAAAGGTTTACCAGCAGAGACATTATTAACACATTAGTTGCATGAACCAAATTAAGGTGCTTGATCAAAGGCAACAATGCCAAGGGAGAAAATTACAGTTGCAGGAAAAGATATGAACCACTTATCATTGCATAATATGATGTCCTGATTGACCATTTGTTCAAGTGAACCAAGTTTCTCTCGGTTTAATGTGAATTAATTTAGCATTATTCAAACGACCAACACAATCATTTGCCCCTCTAATAACCAAGTTATTACTCTTTTTCTTAGAAGCAGACAATATTTGGCTAACCAAATTAAAACCAATCAATTTTTAAAAAAGGAAAATCACACCAAGCATTGTTGGGAGTAAAAATTGTGAAGGGAATTAAAGGAATTACACTGTAAAAATAACAGTAAAACAATGCATTTTACAAGAGGTAAGATTATTACCCCTGTATTTCCATTGCTCTAATTGTGGAGTGTGACATGGAGCTGAGTTGGAACAATTTTAATCATGTTAAAAGACCCTTTGTGCCATATCACATTACTTAAGCAATATTATTGTTAAATTTATGCTACAAATAAAATTTTAAAATAATATAATTTTATGCCTGCACTTCATGTCAAATAACACACACTCTCTTTAATTTCTACTATAAGATACCTCTAACTATTTTATCAAAATTAATAAGAGGTGGTTAAGTTATTAAGTTTGTCTAAAAGTAGGAAAAAAACCTCCAATTTTATCCCCATTTAAATAATTTTTTTTTTAAATTTACACTCACCTTCTGTCATAATTAATGGGTTGAAATAGGAACAATATCAAAAAAAGCATAATTAATAGCTTATCGTGTGTCTTATATTAAAGATCAAAAATATTTTTAAAAAGCACCATGTAACAGGAATTGGAAGGAGTATGTTACTAACATTTATTGTCAATGTTTGCTGACATGTATACATTATCATATGGTATGAATACTTTTGCTCCTAACTCATACACGTTGCATGGCATTGGGATCTATTTAGTTGAATGAAAGTTTGACCTCTGTTACATAATTCTAATTTTTACATTTTTTTTAGAATTAATAGGTAAAATTGCACAATATTGGAGTTAAAAGATTTCTTATTTGCCAATAATTTTTTGTAAAATATTTTATGAAAATATTTGCACTATAACCTTTAACCAAATGCAAGAATCCACCTAAAAACAAGTTTAAAGTAAGGGAACAAAGCATAATTGTTCCCAAAATTAAATGAGCTTGCCATGCGAAGTAATGGTGGTACTATTATTTGTGCCCATATCTTCTAATAGGTTAAAGGGTACATTTTCTTTAAATTTATATGAGGCTTCATTTTAATTTAATTTCGTAAAATATTTTTTTATTCTTTAACTTTAATATCATTAAAAAAATATTTTTATGTTAAACTTTTAAATGTCAATAAAATATTTTTTAAATATTAATATATTAAATTTATTTTTTTAAAAAAAATAATTGATAAAAATCATTTAAAATTAACAGTGTAAGGTTAACTTTATAAATTTAAGTACTACGCTAAAACCAAAAATAAATGAGGAGGACAGAAATAGATTTTAGCCTTTTCACTCAGAAGCTGGCGTGGCGTTCGAAACCGAGGGAGAGGCATAGATATTTGCCTCGGCGAGGATAACACAGGTGAGCCTCGGGACGGAAATCAAGCACTGAAGCTGAAGCAAAAACTATTTCTTCTCCAGTCTGAGACTGGACTCATAATTCTATTCGTGGATTCAGGTTCCAACTATTTTTTGTCTAAGACTATGTCAAGTCTAGTCTGGACACTGTAATGGCTCTTGTTCCTGGTCGTCAGCTTCATCCAGCAGTCACATTCTTCGATTCGTTTCAGAGCTCTCCGAAATTCTATTGCCTCCATTTCTTCAGGTGCAACACAGCAGCTCAATTGGAAAATCAAACTCTCTATGCGTCACGAAACTGGGTTGTTTATGCTTCAATCAATGGACAACGACCCTCTAGAAATTGTCGCCTGGTTGGCTTAAAAACTCCCATATTCCAATCTAGCTTGAGCAAAAATTTATGTAGTCATAGTTGGTTGAAAACATGGAACGAACCCTACCAACAGAATCGTCCGAAACCGCCTCGCGCTGCTGCGGATTATCGAGATTCTGAAAAAGAGCATTCGTCAAATTTGGGTTTGTTAGGGAGTGAGAGTGATAGTGATAGAGATAGTGATGATGGTAGTGGTGGTCGTGGTCGAGGTGGTAGTACAATGGAGAGGATTGTGGAGAAATTGAAGAGATTTGGCTATGTTGATGGAATTGAGAAGCAAGACAGAACAACAGAGAAAGTGATGGAAAAAGGGTCTGTGGAGGACATATTTAACGTGGAAGAAGGAATGTTGCCGAATACTCGAGGTGGGTTTTCACCAGAATCTCCATTGGGGATAGGCAATTTTGGAGCTGATGGGGAGGTACTGTTTCCATGGGAAAAGCGGAAGGAGAGAAGGGAAGATCCGGGAATTTCTCAGAGGAGCAGAAGTAAGACATCTTTGGCAGAAATGACTCTTCCTGAATCAGAACTGAGGAGGTTGAGGAATTTGACATTTCAGAAAAAGCATAAGACAAGAATTGGGGGTGGTGGAGTTACTCAAGCTGTTGTAGACATGATTCATGAGAGGTGGAAGACATCAGAGATTGTGAGGCTTAAATTTGAAGGCGCTTCTGCACTTAACATGAAGAGGATGCATGAAATTCTGGAGGTTTGCTTTTTACCCTTGCCTTATCTGAATTACAACCTTGTAATGACTTCCCTTCTTTCTCCCCCCAAAGCACCAAATTTTTCGAAATATATGTGTAAAAATATAAGCGAATGGAAACAAATGTTAAACAACATAAAAACTCATGAACTTGGAAGCCCTTTCCCTCAATCGCAAATTTTGTTTGAAGAGTCCAATTATTCATAATCAAGTTGAATGATGATTGAATAGAACTTTTGGATTGTCCTTGCTACGTTGTCTTGTTTCCAGTATCTAAAGCGATCTTTTACATTGTCAGTTAGTCAGAAAATACACTAGGTTGGATATTTTAATTAACCTATAATTTTTTTTTTTTTGGTTAAGTTTCATTGGATGACTCATTCTTAGACCACATATGTATTTTCATGTTGTCTAGTTAATTTTTGAAATCATGTTCAGAGAAAAACTGGTGGTCTGGTGATATGGAGATCTGGCAACTCGGTTTCATTATACAGGGGTGTGAGCTATGAGGTGCCGTCAGAGCAATGGGACAAACAAATATACAAGAAAAGAAAGGATCCTTTAAACCTTTTACCACCACCTTCTAATAATGTTGTTCGGAAAGCATCTGATGTTGCTTCTGACATGGGGATGAATGCACAGTTAGAAAATATGGATGATACAAATGAGCAGAAGGAAGTGCTGCCACCTGAAGTTGAATTTGAAGATGAAGTAGACAAATTACTGGATAGTCTCGGTCCTAGGTACACGGATTGGCCTGGATGTGATCCCCTGCCTGTGGATGCAGATATGCTTCCTGCAACTATTCCTGGTTTCCAACCTCCCTTCAGAGTTCTGCCTTTTGGTGTGAGATCCTCTCTTGGTTTGAGGGAGGCAACTAGTCTACGAAGGGTTGCTAGGACTCTTCCTCCACATTTTGCATTAGGTGAGCTATTATTGCCCTTGTTGCACACATAGTTTAGAACTTCTATTTTGATTTCTTATTATTTCATTGTATATAGGCAGAAACAGACGGCTTCAAGGTTTAGCTGCAGCAATGATTAAATTGTGGGAAAAAACTTCTATTGCAAAGATTGCTCTCAAACGTGGCGTGCAACTAACCACCAGTGAGAGAATGGCAGAAGAGATCAAGGTGATATAAATCATAAGCATACTGACTTTTCAGTAATTTCTGTTCATCTTACCTGATAGCTTCTCCCTGTTTTAAGTATTTATTCACCTAAATCTATAACTAGCATGGCAGCTACTGGTGGGTGATCCTTTCATGTTTAATAAACATGTTTTCTAGCAGCATCTGTTGGAGAGAAATTTGAATCTCCCAGCATGGAACAATTGTTTTGTCTCAAGTTTTTGAACACATTGATCCTTCTGATCAATATCCTTTTTCCCAAGTTAAGAAGATTTGTATTTCCTCATTGACACATAAAACTTTCATGAAATATTGCCCCCCTCCAATAGTAATCTAGTATTGACCCACGATGTCATTTTCTCCTTTTGATCCCTATGATATATGAAATATAATGTAATGAGTGGCTTCTTTGTTGGGAGTTCATCTGCGCTTATCCAAACTTCAATTGGAGAATATATGCTTTTTATTTGTAATGAATAGCATAACATGGTGCATACAGTAATCAGATTTGGTGATATGGCTGAAAATAGCGATTCTTATACATCATAAGATTCCTGCTCAAGCTGAAGCTTTTGCAAGCTGCATATTGCTACAGTGGAAACCTGTGATCAATTTTTTTCCCCTGATTTATTCTCTGCTTCTGGAGTACAAAAATAGGAACTGTAAGGATCCAAACCAATCAGATAATGAATCAGGGTGAAAAGTAACATTACCCTTATCCCAGCCAGGTTGAAAAAATAGGGAGAAACTAATGGATAATAGCAGAAAGATGACAACAAAATAGATAATATTAACAGAAGTCCTAAAATCTTCTAGAAGCATATCTTGAAGTCTTCGACACTCTTCCCTGATCATCGCTAGCTTGTAACTCAATTCTTCATACTTCAATAGAGCAATTGCTTTCATCACCACATTTGTAACTTAGGTGTTGGTAGGGACATAATTAATTAATTCAAGCAAGCCTAAGAATTTTTTTCCTCAAAGAAACGAGGATCAATCTCCAAGGGCTTTGTCCTACCATGATCATTAGGATTCTTAGAAATTCAATTGTGAACCATATTATCACATCATACTTTCATAAGTCAGCCAATATAAATTTAAGTTCCTTGAGAGGTCTCATCGACCAAATTTCTTCAGAAATTCCATGGGCTAGTTCTCTACACTACTCCTTGCAACAACTGTTTGTTTGATGCTTCTCCTTGTAATCAGATTCTCCCATACAGAAGTAGAGTAGCGTGTGGATTTTCAATCAGTTACAAATCATGTTCCTTTCTGGAAAATAGTCCCTTTGCAGGAGTCATGTTAAGAGAAAAAAGAAATCAGTACACTATTTCTAGGTGTTCCTCTTCTAGCTGGTTGATGAATTGATTGGCTACACTGACAGGAAAACTGATCTTTGGATGAACGTGATAAGAGTAAATCAAATTCCTCACAAATCTATGGTATCTACCTACATTAACTGTGGGGCTTTCCTTCTGAAGCCTTAGCTTATTGTCAGCCTCATTAGGAGCATTGATAAGCCTTGATTTTTATATATTTTATCCCACATTACCTAGTGTTAGCCAATCCCACCTAGTGGGATAAGGCTTGTTGTTGTTGTTGTACATTATCCAGTGTTAAATGATGATTTTATATTAATTTGGGCTTAATTGAGTAATATTAGGATTTATATACCATTTTGCACTCTTAAGAAAATACTTGTAAAATTCTTGGATTTTATTGCTAATTTTCATAATTATTATTGGGCTAATTTTTCCTATATGATATTTCCCATTATTGTGCAACCATCAACTGGCTTGCATCCTAGCATCCTTTTTTCCTTAAGAAGACCCAGAATGTATTTTCCTTGAGACACGAGAATATTCTTGTTATTTCTTGCAACTGCTATCTGTACAAAATATCTCATGTTCTGTAGACCCTTCATTTCAAATTCTGCTGCGAGAGTCCTCATCAACCTATTAATTTTATCACTTGGTTTCTAGTAACAACAATTTCATCACTTGGGAAAGTCTCTAGGAGTCTTAAGTATCTGGGTTAGATTCAGATGCAGCTCCAGACTGAGGGCTTGTGATTGGTATTTCTGGTTAGGTCTTGGACAGAAGTGTTAGGTTCAGGGTTAAGGACAGCGGTTGTCAGGTTCAGGGAGTTGTGGTGACATTATACTAAGTTAATATGCTCAAAATTAGTCCTGAACACATTGCTTTCAGATGTCAGAATTCTCCCCGTGAGTGGGTGTTTGGATTAAAAAGGGGTGGTTTCAAAGAAGCTAATATTTAAAGTGAAAAAGGTTTTCTTGGTGAATGGGGAGTAACATATATAGCCTTTCATGGTAGACAGATACTCAACAAAAATGCATTTAAATGCCTTAGGGACTAGTTTTCCCCTTTCGTCATTATAGACAAAATATGTACACCCATAAATCTTGTAAGGAAGCAAGGACTTGGTTGGGTTGTGGAATAAGCCTCAAATGAGTTTCTGATGTGGTGAAAGAAATTTCAAAGACTCCTGAGATCATCCTATTGACTAAGTAGAAGGCAGTGAAGGGCTTTCAGGAAAATGCTTGTGATGCAAAGGCAATGTTTAATATTCTTTCAAATGATACTTAATCACTTCTGTAGCCAACCTGTCATTATATAGTTGGAGAGATCATGTAGATCGTCAGCAATCTGTATGTAACTAGATAATGGAGATTAACATGAGAATGGAAGTCAGCCAGATTTTCCTTTTTGTTTTTGTTTTTTAATTTCCAATTGCTGTCATCTCATATTCATTTGGTGTAGTAGATAGTCACTGAAAGTACAGTCAGTCACAAGGTTGTTTGTTATATTCTATCATAATTGATTTGTTCTGTTCTGAAGTATAGATATGATGGTTTCTTGAATGCATAATTATTTTTATTTCTGGCTGCAGAGATTAACAGGAGGTACGTTACTCTCCAGAAACAAAGATTTCCTTGTCTTTTATCGGGGGAAGAATTTTTTGTCTGCAGATGTTGCTCAAACCTTGCTGGAGAGGGAAAATTTGGTGAAAGCACTGCAAGATGAGGAGGACCAAGCAAGATTGAGAGCATCTTCATTGGCTGTACAAACTAATGACACATCTACGCAATCGGGGGAGACTGGGACACTTGAGGAAACATTGAATGCTGATGCTAAGTGGGGAAAGAGATTGGATGAACATCATGAAGAAAACATTAAGAGAGAAGTAGAACTACTACGTCATGCCAAAATTGTTAGAAAGCTAGAACAGAAACTTGCTTTTGTAAGTTCCTTGTATCTAGGAAATCTTTTGCTCTCTTAATGTTTAAAAATTCATATTGATGAAACTAAAAATTCTGGAGAATTTGGGTGTTGATCCAGTATATCTAAAGTAAATTACTGATTTGGACCAAACCATTTAATATTATTAAAATGTGAAGTCTCCTTTTTATTGCAAGGAGGTTGAAAAACATAGTGGTAGTAGCTTTAGAGTATCAATGAATCTTGGTGTAGACAAGGGCTTAGCACTAGTATGTTGGCAGCGAATGCATATGGATAATGCCATTACGTAATGCCAGTTGAGGATTTTCCTGATTTGGATCCAATATTTTTCCTTTCCAGGCTGAAAGAAAGGTAATGAGAGCAGAGCGAGCTTTAGCTAAGGTGGAGGAATCTTTGAAGCCATCAGAACACCAACCAGACCCTGAAAGCATAACTGACGAGGAGAGATTCATGTTTCGCAAGTTAGGATTGCGGATGAAAGCTTTCTTACTACTTGGTAAAACTTGATCTAGAAATTTTTGTTCTTACTTTTATATTTGGACCTTACTAAACGCTCTGCTACTGGAAATGGATGTGAAAGGGGAAAAATCTTGGCAGAATTTGTTGTAGTTAACTTTTATTTATGGTTTTCATAAAATTAGCAATAAGTTGTAGATATGGTATTGGAAAGTATCTGAATATTAGATTTCTAAAACTTGACAATCTAATCCAGAAATCTAAAACTGCCCTGTAGATTACTTTATCTGCTTTCTACCTCTTTCCCTCACAATGATCTTCTGACGGTCCCCACCTTAAATCCCCATCTCAACATTCTATGCTTCAAAAGAACTTACAAGACATCTTTGTTGTGACCAGGCTCTTGAGGTACTTAATAATATCTTGTTTATGAGAATCTAATTTATTATTGCAGGTAGGCGTGGGGTTTTTGATGGTACTATTGAGAACATGCACTTGCATTGGAAGTATCGTGAACTTGTGAAGATACTGGTAAAGGTTAAAACTTTGAACAGGTGAAGAAAGTTGCATTAGCACTTGAAGCCGAGTCTGGAGGTATTTTAGTTTCGGTTGACAAAGTGTCAAAGGGATATGCTGTAATTGTATACCGGGGAAAAGACTATAAGAGACCTTCAACTTTGAGACCCAAGAATCTTTTGACAAAGAGAAAAGCTCTCGCACGTTCAATTGAGCTCCAAAGACGCGAGGTATCTTTACAAACACTGGAATCACTAGGATTTAAGGATTCACTATCTCACCACTTTGAGAGCAAATTTTTCCCTTGTTGCTTTAAGTGGGGTTATGCTATTTACTTCTTGTTTCCTTTGGTAATCCCGATTCATTATTCACATCTAGAAGTGGGTAGCGAGAATCAAAACGGCATAATTAGCTTGGAAGGCTAGGGTTATAATAAACGTTAATTCATCATTTTTGATCTCTCTAAGTCAGAACTGAACCTGAAACTTTGGCTTCATTCATCTCCTTTATGGAAGAGATTAACAAATGGAAGACATAAAAAAAGTCATCCATAACATCTATGTCGGCCATTTTATCTGAATGCATTCAAAACATTCTGCTTTTTGGATGATCCTTCTAGAATCTAGAAGAGGTGGACTATAACAAATTTTTTTTTCTAGTTACTTTGTTCCATATTTCTATTTAAGAGAATCCTTAGGAAAAGCCCTTTTTTTTTTCATCGAGCTAAAGAAAAAAAAAATTTGAACCTCTAGTAAACTAAAGTAATCATTTAATAGCATTTTGCTTTGTAGTATCATCATGTGGAGTATATCCTATTTTTCCTTTTGTAACTCTCCTTCCATGAGAGAAATAGTTCTTCTATTGAGAAAAACATGATCGTGTATCTATCTATTTATAATCCTGTCTGTCTATTCCTCTTTTTCTTTCTTTTGTCTGGGTGTGCGAATGCTTTTTTTATTTATGCTTATAGCTAATGCTCTTTGCTGAGTTATTTCTTTCTGTGTATTGCAGGCACTCTTAAATCATATTTCCTCTTTGGAAAGTAAAGTGGCGAAAATAAGAGGCGAAATAGTATGGACTAACTAATCTTCATATACTTTTAGCATCTCTGCAAAAAAAAAAAAAAAAATCTTTTAATGTCAACCCCTTTGGGTACCACCTCTCATTTGGCTTGTTCAACTTTTCATAGGATCAAATGGAGAGGGTAAGGGACTGTGGAGATGAAGCATTGTATGACAAATAGTTATGCTTTATGCTACTGACGATGACGACGACGACTGATCTAAGGTCTCTCTCTCTCTCTCTCTCTATATATATATATATCTATCTATCTATCTATCTATCTATTTATACTCCTGTCCCTCGTACTCGTATTGAACGCATAGGGACACTGCTGGAACCCTCTACACTAATAAACTTAAAACAAGAAAATAACACAGCAAATGGGATTAAACAGAGTAATGGAGTGGTATTACAAGAAAAATAGGAACTGAAAGTACAAAGTACGTGAAACAACAAAAAATACAACCTAGTATAGCAACACAAACATAAACTACACATGAACAATGATGAAGAAAGATATCTTCCTACACCTCAATCTGGCATTCGAGAGGCCAGAGCTCTCCTTGTCACTCACAATTTTCAAAATACTCCACACCCCTCTCTCTAGGCAAGGAGGAAGATTTAAAGACTCAAAAAAGTGACTCTAAGACAGCCCTTACCCTTAGAAGACTCTTAACACGTCACTAGGACTCTAAAGCATTACTAGGCCATCAATTACTTTTCCTTATAACCAGGATCCGGAAGATAAACATCTGAACCAGCAATATTGTTATCTTCTAGCTCATTGCCTTCCTTGATTTCCTCTTATGGTCTTTGTAAAATATGAGCTTTATCGGACACTCAAATCACATGGACGTTTTAGATTGTGTGCCCATTCTTCCTAACTCACCCAAATAGCCAAAATTGTTCTCTGCTTTATAATTGCTAATTTTTTTAAAAAAAATCCTCATACACACTCATTTCTGTTTTTTAACGTAAGTAAATTACATAACCTTTGAGTTTTGTTGAAATCACACAAGCATTCCCTCAGTTTTCAAAATCAATGCAGATTTTCTTTAAATTTGGTTAAAATTATACATACTTCCTTATTTTCAAAAGTCACAGACATCCATCCAAACAAAAAGTTAATTGGAAACTCCCAAAATTCATGTAATATCTGTGTAATTTATTTTTTTACTTTTAAAGATAGTTCATGTAAATTTGGAAACATATGATAGTGAAAACGATCATGAAGATGAGATCTGTTACTAGTTACTGCTGTTATTTTTCTGTAAAAATGAGTCAGTGTCCTCTTTCCATTTAGGTTGAAGATAACGAGGAAGGAGATGAGGCATTTCTGGAAACATACGATAGTGAAAACGATCATGAAGATGAAGTGGTAGTTTACATTCTCCAACATGAGAAGTTGATCATATGATGTTCAAAATCAAGGTTCATGTGATTTCAGATATCATCAAACTGCTGAAAGATTGAAATCACAATGATGAAGGATGCCAAAATCTCTCATATCTTATCGAATCTCTGAAAGAAACACAGAAAAGTGACATTGTCCATGAGCATGCAGCAAGGGGCATTGTTCTGACTCTGTTGAAAGGTGTGTGAATATATTTGTTCATAATGTTAATTCAGTCGTATTTTTCAACTATACACTGACTAATTATCAGCGTTAGGGAAATCTTACTATTTTGAGTGTAGTTTTAGTTTCACAAATTATTCCATTCCATGGCCGGCAAAGTGCTCTGACAGAAATATATCATTTAGCTTTTCAACTACTTCTAATAGGTTGCTGCTACATCTTCTATCCTATTAATTCTTCAGGATAATAAAACTTTTAATCCTTCAAGTTCATCTTGGTTATCAATTTTATTTTTAAATTTAATTTTTATCGATTGGGTCCTAATTTTTTCTTAAATTATCATGTTAGGTTCTTTAAGTTTTGAAACACAAATGAACTTTTAAATTTATCTATGTGAAGTATATTGATGGCTTGACAAATATATAACTAAATGAGAACAAATGAGCTTGCACATTAATTTAATTTTTATCAATATATTTTGTTACGTTGCATTTTGTTCTTATATTTTTTTAAATTTCTAATCCTTTTTTTTTTTCCAAATAAGTACACATCTTTTCATGAATTTATGTAACTACTTATCTCTGTCGGCAGATTTTAATAATATTACATTATCTTTAAACATGAGGATTAAATTGATAAATGAGACAAACTTAAACAACTAAATCAATAAAAAAAATTAAATTTGAATGATCAAATTGATAATTGGAACTAACTTGAAGATTCAATAGTTTCATTATACCTTTTTTTTTTTCTTTTTAACACAAGTATTTGAACGCTGGACATTACATGTTATCCCATTTCACTCTTACCACCTAGATTAGTTTCCAATAATCTATAAACTCTTATTTATCTATCCTAGCAAATTTTTGACCTTGATCAAATAAATATATATCGAAATGATAATTTGCTCAAAATGATTTATTTGTATCCATAAATTGAGATGATATAGATTCATTGTGTAGCTTGTGAGACAAGCCATATTCATGCATTTTTGGGATTGAGAACTTTGGAGGAATATAGATGTAAATCATGTTGACATTACTGTTTGGAAATGGCAAGAATACTCTATAATCGAACCATTAGATTTTGAAGGTTTTTCATTAATTAGGTTAATTATTGAACATCCTATTTATCCTTCCACATTTCCTTTGATCGTGTTTATTATTTTAAATTTAACACTTTTACTGTCCATAATTTATATATATATATAGATATATATATATTCTTTAAATAGATCCAATTAATTTTTTTAGTATTTAAAAATATTTCCCTACATTATATATTAACTCTTTTTATTTCATAATTATAATTTTAATTCTGATATTTTTTCTCAAACTTATCCAATTGCATACTTATGTCTTTTTTAATTATTATATATATAACCTTACTTTTTTAATTAACTGGCTTTTAATTCAACCTTATTTTGCAAATTATAGTACTCCCTTTGTTTTTATTTGTTAGAGAAACTGTTACTCTTGATTTTTTTTTTTAAAAAAAAAAAAAAAGCAAATTACATATCTTCTAAATTATCCCGCATAATTTTCATTAATGAAAACAATTAACGTATATTTTATATTGATTAACACAATATATTTTATTTTAATTTTATTTTTAAACATAATTATTATGATTAATTAATTTTCTTAATTGTATAATACATTATATATATATATATATGAAAACAGTAATCAAAACAAGCTCCAAGTCTTACGTTGAGACATGAGAAGGTGCAAAATTAGTTAACTAGGTCTCACATTCATGAATTTATTTACACCTTTACATGAAAGCAAGGACACAATCCACATCTATCATAAGTAACCTTGATTGCCAAACAAGATACACGAATATATATATATATATATATATATTGAACACGTCAATATTTCGAACAAAATATGGACAAGTTGAGTACATAAATAGACATGTCAACACGCTTAAACTCACTAATTCATAGAAGCTCACCAATTCATGAGGCCATTGAAGCAGCTCCTCGGTCCAAGCACCAATGGATTGATTAATTATTGGTTTCCGGGGAGTTTTTCTATTTTCTGAATCGAATCTCTCAACAGTTTCTGATCCTTTTCTCTTGAAGAAAGACAAAACAATGCCATTCCAGATAGAACCAGGCCCCAGAGCAGGGCTGGGTGGTTTGTAGAGTTCGTAGATGGAATCAGCA